TTTGGACTGAATGTAAGATTCACCTGTAAAACCCGAGGAGGAAATGGAACACTGCGTAATGATGTGGCTGCCCTCTAAATACCTTTCCTTCAGAACAATGTTTGCAGGTCATTTAACTGTATAATAGAGCCCGCTGGTAACCATGCTCGCATTTTACTGGCATTGAATCGGTCCCTAAAATGTCTCAGGGCAGTTGGGTTAATGGAGTGTTTTCAAAAGCCTGGGATGTTCCGTCTGCAGCGTACCAGGAGATTGACCTTTGACCTTGGATTCAATGAGGAGAAAAGATGTCCCCTGATGGCGCCGTTTCTTTACAGAACACTTCTTTTCAGTTCCCTCTTTCATTTTCTGAGCCAAAAGCACCAATGTGAAAACAGAAATGTGACCAAACGGATATGAGTCACATCGAGCATAATAACGGTGACCAGGAGAAGCATTTCAGACGGTTCTCTGATAATTGAGCATAAACTGCCAAGAGCTTTTAAAAAACCACAAACCATGTTCAGAGCAGTCGCTAAACCTGTTTGTGGTTCCAGCTGATGCTGTTTTGTGTTTTCTAGGAAGTCGCTTTAGAAAGCATTGACGGGAAGCGTCAGGTTGTGTTTTTCTCCAGCAATATTTCTTCTCTACTACAATCAGAGGTCAGAGCTAATCATAGGCCTGAACCAGATGCATATTACATTTAGTTTTTATTAATGACAAACCCAAAAAAACAGAATTTAATTTTCAACAATTTTGGCAACTAAGCCATTGCTCTTTTTTTTTGTTTTTTTTGTTTTTTGTTTTTAGCAAATATAGGATAAGTGAACTGAAAGTAAACTTACTTAATGCCCTGCGCTCGGTGACGGTGGTCTGAAGCATACCAGGCGTAACACCTGAACACCCCAACAAATGAATGCTTGGCTTTAAGATGATATTTAAGGTCCTTTAGTGAAATGAAGAGTCCTTCTTGCAATGTGAGCAAACCGCAACAGGTTTGTTTACTGTTCCATCTTTGTTTTTTTATACTTGAACTGTCCATCCAGCAGGCCAATGGGTTCTTCTGACTCTTACATCTCGCTCATGTCAAACAAGTGAATTGTGGGTAAAACAGGTCGGGAAAACTTAAAAAAAAAAATCCTGTTAATTCCAGAAATTAATCATCTCACGTTAATGGGTTAATTTTGACAGCCCTAGAAACAATATATATATATATATATATATATATATATATATATATATATATATATATATATATATATATATATATATATATATATATATATATATATATATATACACATATAAAGGAGAAATGGGTTTGTGCATGCTCTTGCATGTGTGTTATATGCATTCCCTCTCTGGAGTTGGTATAGGGTTGTGCATGTGCACTTTTTTTTTCAAGGTGGAGAGGAAGGTGGGGAGGGCGGGTATTTAAAAAAAATTGCAAAAATCCTCCACTATACCTTTAATTAAATGCTAAATAATAAGTCAATAAACTATTTGAAAATATAAAAGGAACAGCTTTAAAGAGAATTTGGAATATGGCATTAATGGAGCTCTGTACAATGGCACCCACTTGTAGCAACAGAAGGAGAGGAGGGGCTCCCCACTCAGACAATTTGATAATAAACATAACAGTAGCTAGCTTTAACAGCCAACAGGAACACCGAAAAATGAGAAAGTGAAAAGGAGAGAGAGCAGTTTGCATGATCTATAACCAACTGGCAGCCTGTACTTTACAGAAATCCAACAGTATCATTTGTTATCAAATCACAAAATACAACACCCAGCAGAAAGGTCAAGAGAACTTCTTCTGAAGCAAATAAGAGAATTAAAGCCTATATGTTATTAAGCCCCTGCCCAGGTACTAATAAACTAACAATTGATAAAAAAAAAAAAAACACACAATACAAAGGGTTTACTGTTCCACTGCTTCTTTCTGGAAAGCACTTAGGAAGTGGGGTAAAGAAAAGAAGGCAAGAATATATGTATGGCTACAGTTAAAGCTATGGTGATGCAAACAGGTGGTTATGTTTGATCACTTGGCCAAAGTATTTAGTTAAACCACAACTTAAGTGGGCTTTCAGAACGGAATGGAGGAATAGTCTCCGGCTATCCCGAGAATTCCCTCTTAAACCAAGAACAGAGGTGGTTTGGTCTTGCTGGAATGGTTTTAACCAGAAGACAAATCAGGAACCTCTGCAGATGACCTGTTCTTGCAGGCTCTGAGTTTAATCAAGCCTCTTTTTGAAAGGTATGAAAGGGGGAGTCTAGAGGAGCTTTGACCAGCATCAGCCATCTGTTTACACTTGGATCTGAAAGCAACACTTACGGGGGAAAGAGACCAGATGGTGGCTTGCTGCTGGTTCTATCACCTCTAGTGACTCATAGCTGCAATGCAAGCCTGGAGCTGTAGTTATAGTTTGTTTACCATAAAGTCCTGGCATAACGTTCATAGCTTGTAATATAATAATCCATAACTGTTAGCAATGCAGGGACACATTTGAAAGCATAAGGGCTTAAGTTTGTCACCTGTGTTTTAGATGTTTATCATAAGCAGCTACATAAAATCTGTTTTACGACTAAGATCAGATCCAGTCAAGAGGAATGCTCTTGTTTGGCAGACATTATTTGGGTCTGTAACCTCATCTCTGGTATCTGATGCTTTTATTTTGTGCTAATCTTCCACAGTAACTCTTTGCAAAATTGCCTCAGCCAAGGTTCTGGTGTGAGTTTCCACTAAAGTAAATGCTGTACAGTGAGGCTGAAACCTGAACCAAGTATTTGAGCTGCAGAGACAAGACCAAAAGAAAGTCTACCCGACCTTAAGGACCACAAAGCCAGGTTGGGCCTCTTAGCAGCTCTGACAGCAGACATTCGTTTGCAAACGTCCGGTAGCTTGCATGGCAGAAAGTGATGCCTAAACGTTTATAAACAGAAAACTGTAAATAACAGTAGCCTGGCACTGAAAGTCAGCAACAAATGACAACACTGCTAAATGGAATACAGGCTATATTAATAGAGGAATATGGGGTACAACTTGCAATAGCTTTGATTTTGGTGTCTTCATGCATGCAGATGTTTGTTTGAAGTTATAGCTCTGAACATACCGCCTTTCTGCATATTAACATTCCAGTCAATGGGTTCCTAGAGCACAAGGGGCCTCAAAACCTACAGAATATGTCCTGCATGCTGCAGAAGAAACCAACATCTGTAATTATTGTTGGTGACACTTTCATGTCAAATACATAGTTCCTCCCCCTGGTTTAAGCAGACGTACAGAAGGAGGAACATGTCTTTTCCAGGGAGATGGCGCCATCTGAAGGTCAATTTGAGACATACGATAATTTTCGACCCTTCAAGGCATTCTGATTAACCTCTAGAAATGGGATTCCAATGATTCAATTTGAGAAAGTGTTATATAATTAAAGTTTCACCAAATGTGACGTTTTTTCTTGAGAGTTGATAAGAAGGTGGGAAAGGAGAAGGTCTCTTATCTGTAAAAACATCACCTGGACCTTGGCATGAACTTTGTGCTTAAGTCCGATGAGACAAAAATTGAGCTTGACACATATGATGAGTACACCCAATGAAAGGTACTGTGAAGCAACCTTGCTAAAGTACATAACATTTAGGACTCTTTTGATATCAGCAATCTTGTAACTAAATATGTATTTAAGATATTTAAGATTGAATTGATCCAAAACATACTGCTGAGGGGAAGTTGTTCAGCAGATAAAGATCAATCTTGCTTCATCATCGACCTCAGTGCCACATCCTGCTGAAACTGTCGTGGCGGAGCTGAAGAACCCAGGGCTGGGGTTGATCTAGAGATGTTCTGTCAAAACTTCGCACTATGTGATTCCAAAAAAAAAAGTTAAAAAAACAATACGCTGGACTTTGTTTTCCAAGTTGAAGATGTTTCGCTTTGCATCCAGGAAGCTTTTTCAATTCAAAATGTCTGGATTCGCGTTGAATTCCAGGCTTTATATATTCGCCCAAACAAAAGCGTTGTTATGGCTTAGAAAACATGCAAGTTGAACCGAAAGAACAGCTTCACTCCTTAGTAAAGGGGAGTTGTTGAGGTTGTTTTTGGCCTGGAATACCCGATACTGGCCCATGCCTCTGAACTATGGACAATTAAAAAAGCTTCCTGGATGGAAAGTGAAACATCTTCAACTTGGTAAACAAAGTCCAGTGTTTTTTTGTTTTTTTTTTACTTTTTTATAATGCTCTGGATGACTGAAATCTCCACCAGCATTTTGCACCATGTGGGCCAAATCAGCTATTTATTATTTTGAAATGGAGTTGTGGTGAGTTATTCCCTACATTTGCAGAGCAGTGGCGTTTTCTCCTTGAATACTAGGGAGGCTAAACCTCCCCTGTAAATTCTGTAAAACTATTGGTAAAATATGCATTTTTGAACTTTATAATTGTAGCCATTAAATTGCATTAAATATGAGCTAAAATGTGGCTGATTTCAAAAATATGTTGGACATTAATCAGCAGTTTATTCTGCTCTGGACGCGATCTCTCCTCTGTTCTGCTGCCTGTCCATCTCTATGAAAAGTCCCTGTTGAGGTTTGAGACTCGGTCTATTGAGGTAAGTGGAGCCCTGATTGGATAAGACACCAAAATACATCACTTCCAGTGAGGCTCAGCCTGTCCGGGGGTCTAGGCAGCAGGGGTGGGTCATGAAGCTGGCTGCTGATGCTGACTGGCAAACAAAGTTAAGGATTTTTGACTGACAGTGTGCAGACAGTGAGGAGGTTTTCCCCATGAGTCGAGAGACAAAAGAGATCACTCAGTCAGAACAGTTATCTTGGGATGAACTCTTGCCATTGTTTCTGAGGTTTATTATTTCAGATTGCTTCACTATTTTAACCATTGTGATGTGTTTCATGTGTTTCGAAATTTGCTAATGCCATACGTGATGCTTGGATTTAATTAACACCACTGAGCCTCTCCTGTTTCGGAGGGCAGCAGCCGCCACTGGTGCAGAGTTATCTCTTCGACTATTATTTGAGCTTGATTTACACTTTCATTTATTGTTCTATCAAACAACCAGCTAGGCGTGCATTCACAGAACAATATTTGACATACTGAAGTCTGGTCATTAAACATATCAAAACGGCACATACTCAACTAAAAACCTAAAAGTCAGAGTTTACCACACATTCAAATTATGACAGACAACTAAAAACCTTGTTCTTTAATTCATCTTATTTACTGTTAAACAAAAGGAAGCATCATGTGCCATCAGTAAGTTACATACCAGCTTGAGGGAACCACAGATGATCACATAGTAATGTTGATTTCAGTGCATAGATCATATTTTTACCTTCAACAGGCAGAATTCAAAGGTTGCTGCTTTCTGCTCTGTTTTTCTATGGTTACCAAACATCTGAAATGCCTGCTGAGATTGTATTTTTGACAAGAATCTTTGTAGATGTGCCCTCCAGGTCGATCAATGATCCTTCAGCAGGCAGGGAGTCCTTCCAGGCCTTTCCCCTGTCCACGTCACACTCTGACCAGACCTTTTAACTGGACCAACACAGAGATAGCTGCTTATTCTCGCTCCTTACTGCTTGTCCTTATCTGTAACATAAAAGCCATGTAGCAGGGTTATCATACAAAATTGTCATTTATCGGGGGCATTAAAAGCTTAACTCTAGATTGCAGTCATGTTTTCTCGGTTTGGGTGTCCAATAAACATTTACTGTGTAATAAAGCTTAGCTCTGTCATTTTAAACACTTTCTATGGTAGGAGCAGCTGGACTCAAACACAAGAGTCCAATCAGAGTGTATATAGCACTGACTGATAGGAGGAATGCTTGCTTTAAAGCAGGGTGGTGGCACCTTCATGCTCTGGTTTTGCTTTGCTGAAACAAAAACAGGTCATGAAGCTTTTGCAAACATATAATCACAAAATTCTATTGGATTTCAAACGACATAATGACCCAAAAATCTGAGCTGAAGAAGAATGGCTCCTAAACTTCCACTAAGCTGAAAAAAGGCCTCAACTTGATGTTCATAATCTTAGATTATCTATAACAACAAAGGTCTGTCCTACCAGCAGACTCGGTCAGTCCGTTATAAAACAGGAGATCCAAGCAGAGTCTTGAACATGAGCTGTTATTGTGTTGCATTTCTGACAGAACAATAAAGATGCGTTCACACCTAAAGTGAAACCTACTTTAAGACACAGCAATCAAACCTGTGGCAAGCTGGGCGATGGGAAAGAAGGTGACGACGATGAGAAAAAGAAAGCAGAGAAAGTGTGGACTGCTGGAAGAACTGTGGTGAACTGATGACAGAAAAGTGATATGGTGTGCTCAAAGATGACCCTGCACATTTTGAGTTTGTTTGACTCAACCTGCTGCTGTGAAGCAGGATTCTCCATCATGAACATAATAAAAAATAATAGCAATCCAGACTCACGAATGAGCACCTTGATATGTGCTTTAGAATGGCTTTGTCTCCATTCAAACCCAGGTTTGAACCCTTGCAGGGCAGCGTAACGCCCACTGCTTTCATTAAGCTATAAAAAAGAAAAATAACAATTTAAGTTCAGGTGTTTTGTAAAGTATGTGAATCCAGAAATTGTCTATATACCAAACTCAACTACTGTTGTTCTCTACTTTAAAAAAATTATTTTTATTATTTTTTTATTTAAAAATTCAATGCATAACATGGATTCATAAAAACCTGCTTTTTATTTCAGTCTTTTATAATTAAAGACGTCTCCGTACCTACCCTGGTTGATTATTTTCTTTATTCGGACCCGCTGATTTTTAATTGGTTACCCCTGATCTAGGGCTAAATTAAAACAGCTTTTTAAAAGCCACCTTAAGAGCGTTCCTACTTCCTCCTTTGTCAACATTATTTTCTCTAACTTCCATTTTAAATAAAAAAAAACTATAACTGTAACTTATGGCTGCATTAAGTCCCCAACTTGTTTTTCCAACCCAAATTCTAAACAAAAGTTCAGATTTTTCAATTTCATTCGCAGGTGAGATGGTGATCAAATGTTGGCAACTTTGATACTGTCACCGCTCTCAGCTTTGCTTCACTCAAGATCCCCCCTCTACATAGAGGTAACATGGAAACAAGCAACAAAATTTGTGTTCAGTGTGACAGTACCTTAAGAAGACCCCAGAATCAGGGTTTTATCATTGTCTCCCTTTTATCTCCTCTTTTTCATCTTTTTTTTCCTTTCTTCTTCTACATTTCCATTGAAGTGTCGACATAATCTGTAATACTCCTTGCATGAATTATATTAAAGGTATTTATATGCATAAATCAAGCGGAAAACCATGGCAAAATCTGTACTGCTCCACTTGTGAAAGTAAAATCTGTTGGACTCTTTTGGCATCAATACAATTATTCTTATTGCCACATTGCCTGACAGGACACCGAAAAAAAAAAGACCTCAGAATGAAACCAAGAGTGTCTTTAGTACCTCTCCTTGGGACAAACTTCAGCGAGTGGCTGAAGATTCAAAAACGGGACCTTCCCTCTTCTGGACCATCGTTTACAAACTCGTGGCCTAGTCCATTGCCACACTTTCCACACAGAACCTGGAAACATGCAGCATTAGATCATTAACCTTCATGGCAGCGGTTCTGGCTAAAATACATCAGAAGGCAGATCCCTGACCTTGTAGGCGGTGAGGGTCTCCATCATCTTGGTGACACTGTCTTCTCTGATGGTGTCAGTGAATGCCGGCCATGGAGATGAGTGAGGGAACTTGGACCGACTGGAGAACAGGGGATGGTTACACTTGGAGCACACATAGATTCCTGCATGGCAGAGGTCAGAGGTCATGCTGGAAGTATGCAGTCACACCACTTCTCTTTTTCTATCTAGAATGATGCACACTACTTCACATCCAAAACAGACGGAATCTAAAACTATAATCCACTTAACATATTTCAATGCAGCTATGATGTTAACATTGGAGGTTAGTATTGATTGTGGTGCCTATTGCTAGCCTGGGTGCCATTCCGAACTTAGTCCCGCCCACAAAGTTTGAGGTCGGGGAAGTTCGGTCTGGCTCTGCTCCATAGTAGCGCGAGTATTATCGCCCACTGTCAGGCGATCCAATCAAATTGTCAGGGCGGGCTTTATACGATGATGGACAGATGACAAACAGTAACGTAATCAACCACGTGACCAATGCGCGCTTGGGTGACAACAATAATGGCTGCCGCTGGAGAGTTTAGGTGAGTAGATTCTGCTATTAGGTCTGTTCTAGAAGATATCTACAGCAAATTAATTTTAAAAGAGGAACAGAGAAACGCGATCAAGTCTCATCTTCTTATTCTAGGCGTGCAACTGCACGCTTTGATTTTTGTGGACAACAACTATGCGTCGCTTAACATACGTCACGCACTCCGTTGCTCTTATTGGTTGTACGTCTGTCCAATTGAGTGCAGAGGCATTTTTTTTCCTGGTTCGTTCGAAACACGCCCCATAATCACAGCTCTATGGAGCAGTATCAGACTCATATTCTGCCTAGAATTGAGTCGGACTACGTCAGGCTAGCCTATTGCAGCCTTATATATAAAGTTCTCACATTTCTCACCAAATCTCTGTGATTTAAAACAAAAAACCTTTAAAATATGCCTTCACCTATAATTTGACCTTCAACCTGTTGGGAAACCATCTGGAATATTTATTGGAAGGTAAAAAGTATTGAACCACTCTCTCTGGCTAGGGGTCCACCAGCACCACAGGTCTTAAATAGTCAATATATCCAGCAATTTTTTCAGCTATATTGGATTTAAAGCCATGAAAAAAAGCTTATCTTTGGCTTCATATCTGAAGCCTGAAGGTTCTGACACTAACTAGCGGTGGTAATCAGTCACAAAACAAAATCAACCCTAAATCATGATGCTGCCACTCCCATGCTTCCCTGTAGGAATGTCTTTCTTTTTTTTTGTGATGTGGAGTATTGGTTTACTCTTTAAAACTCTCCTCAAAACACAATACATTTGTATACATGCGTCTGGTAGCACCAACCTTTTTTTTTTTTTTTTTTTTTTTTTTACAGTGTCCTGTCTGGCAAGGTGGCAATAAGAATAATTGTCTTGATGCCAAAAGGAGCCCAACAGATTTTACTTTCACAAGTGTAGCGGTATCGCAATTGCCATACCGCTCCACTTGTTTCATGTATATAAATTGCTTTATTATAATTATGCAGGGAGTTTTACAGTTCATATGGACACTGCAATGTAAGTAGAGCAGAAAAACAGAAGAAGAAGAAGGAAAAAGAAAAAGAAAAAAACAGGACAAAAGATGAAAGAAAGAGGAGATAGGAAGGAGACAATGACAAAACATTTTCAGTCTGCTTCAACACCTGTAATGAGATGGAGAAAAAAAAAAAAAAAAAAAGAAAAAAGAACAGCACAACCAAAAAACATGGTACGAGATATACAATAAAGCAAACACCTTGAAACTATCACTAAAGTAATATTATTAAGTCTGACATGTACTCTGTGTTACCTGAAGATATGAATGTGGGGTTTCTGTTTGGAAGTGAATCTCTAAGTACCTGAAGCCTAGCACCTGTAGTTGTTTGTGAGGGTGAACTTGTGCATGTAAAGTTTTAACCATAGAAAAAAATGCTCAATAGTGGTTGTGGAGAGCCGGAGAGGCACACCCCCCAGAGCACTGAGTCCAGCGCCGGGAGACCCAAAGCCCCAGGCGCCCAAGGGGACCCCAGAAGCGAAGGCACCAAGGCGGGGCCAGCCCCGGAAATCAGACCCCACCAAGGCAGGAGGAGAGACAGCCACGAGGAAGCCCCCCAGCCACCGCCATGCCGGCGCCCCGGGGAGCCGCGGGGACGAGTCCGCGGGCCCCGCCGGCAGCCGGCCACCCCGAAGTAGGGCCGGGCGCCGAACACCAGCCCCCCCACGGCGCCGACCGAAACGCCCCAGCCCCACAGAGCACCGAAACATGCCCCGCCCCCCGCACCAAGCCCCGGCGACCGGCCGCAACACCCACCGCGACCGCA